TTTAGTGCTATATCAAATCAATCTAAACACTTCCATAATCAACACTTGATACACATTGTAGTGTTGTATCAATGTCACACACAATCCAACTTTGAGATCCATCTCCTACCTTCCCCTAAACCGTGGAATACATCCCCTATCTCCTCCCACATACACAATGTATATAAACATAGATCATATACATAAACATTCAATACATAAAGTCGATGTATTATTACAATCGCTATATTCAATAGCATACTCAATCGATTAGTTTTAGTTTGCCTAATCATCATGCAATGTCTACAACAATCAAGGCTATCCCCCACCGATAGCCCAAGCAGTTATTTCTAAACAGGAAATAAGTGCACCAAATGGATATATTATCAACATTCATCCTGGGTGAGCGATTAAATGAATCCAACTACACCTGTTAACCCCATAATCTTTTCAATTTGAATACTGGCAATTCAATTCCTCATTCCTCAAAATTAATTATACAAATTAATTTATCCAACTAATTAGGGCATTTTCCCATAATTAACAAAACAACCCCAAGGTTCCACTTTCATCCATAGTTCATTATCTATATCATTTCTCTATGCCAAACATGCATATAGGTTTAATTATAAACAAAACCCCATCTTTTGTAAAATTACACAAAGACCCAAATTTTTTCAAAATTATCCAACAACCCCCAACATATCAAAATGCTAAAATTCAAAGACAAAGCTCATAAAGAGGAGTAGGATATCCCTACCTCGAAGTTAGAGCTCAAACGGAGAAGGAGAAGAAAGCGAAAATGCTCCAAACACCACGATTCTCGGATCAAAACGAAGCCCTTGACGATCAACACACTTTTTACAAAGGCCGGAGGATAGGGAGACACTCTAACTAGATCAAACCCTAGAGAGAAGGGAGATCCTAGAGAGAGAAGCTCCTAAAAGTGTTTTTAGAAAGTTAGAGAGAGAGAGAATGTAAAAAGTGATTTAAAAACGCCCAGCTGCCAACTGATATACGACATTCCCGCTCGAGTGGATAACAGGACGCTCGAGCGTCAAGAACAGAAAACTGAACCCGTTCGAGCGCAAGAATTCTCGCTCGAGCGCCAAGACACAAAGACGAAACACACCCGCTCGAGCGCGAAAGACCAGTCTGCTCGAGCGTAGATATTCATCTCCCAGAACTTTCACCAACGAGGTACTACCCGCTCGAGCGCCAACAAGCCCGCTTGAGCGTAACCCGCTCAAGCGTAAGAAACCCGCTCGAGCGTAGAAAACACACCTGCAGAAGTTTAGCAGGGACTTAAAATGCTGGAAGGGTGTAAACCCCGCTCGAGCGGACAACTCAAAAATTAGGCAACAGAAATGGGAGCCAAAACTCTACCAACCTATAACAACCAAGCCCAACACATCCTAAAACTCAAACACATGGATTTAAAGGACGACAACAAGATAGATACAACTATCAACTCCACGGAACCGAGTCCGGAATACAACTGAACAGTAAAGGGACAACCGGGATCGCTATATTTTACCTTAAAATATGGATGAAACCTATTATTATTAAGTATTTCTGGAGGGACTTTTGATCCATGAGGTTGGCAAAGAAATCGATCTTCCAATGATATAAGAGCTCTAAAAAAACTATGAAAATGCTGACGTACAATCTTACCAGAGCGATGAAAGAAAAACGAAACATTTCTAATCATCACGCTGTGTGACAAAATGTAAAGACACTTTACAACTTGTTCCTCAACAGTTGCACGTTTTGCAGGTTTCAGACCACCATCTCTTTCAAGTATATGACACAAATCTTGAAATGCTTGCGGTCCCATACGGGTGATATTACGACAATTCTTAATGCATTTAAGTTGTGTCATTAGTTTAATCCTCTCTTTTTCTCTCTTCAAGTAATCAATAGGATGGTCCACGTACTTCCTAAGGTGATATTTTCTCTTTATATACCAATATACCACATGGCAAACAACTTGAACAACAGCTAACTTATGCCTTCTATCCCACATAGTCAAGTCCTTTCTTAGCTCTTTGTCTTGCTGATCCATTTATCCTATATTTTTTATCAAAATAAATCAGTATACTACACATCTAAACATTAATCCATATGAATAAACAATTAACCATTTTATCAAGTGCTCAGTGAGTTACAATTGTATTGTTTTTAATTTTAATTAAAATAAATTAGTACACTAAACATCAAGACATCAATCAAATTTTTTATATTTTTTTATTTCACACTATATTCACATGATAAACAAATCAATCAACCCATATATCTATTCTATTATTAAAGCCAACACAACAGTTGTTGTGGCTTTGTCACTATGTTCTTGATTTCTTACAGAATTTATGCAAGTGCATGATAGAAGATTTATAGATTGAATAGGGGCCACAACATGCAAAATTCAAAAAGATGAAGGAAATTTGTGAAAGGTACAAGAAAAATGCAACCAGCAATTTGAGAGTACAAAAAAAGAATACATATATAATTTTGTATGGTAAATAGTATATATATACATAACAGAATACATATAAAACAGAATATATATATACACATTTTCAGATTTCATGAATGATAAATAGTATATATATATACATAACAGAATACATATATAATTTTGGAGTTTTCAATAATATATATACACATACACATATAGAGTCTGAATAACAAAATTAAGACTATCTTTTCTTTCTTATACATAACAAAATATTCTGTTCTTATGCGTAATAGTATATATATTATTAAGAATAGCTTTTCTTATGCCTAATAGTATATATATCACATATATACATAACAGAATCAAAAAATGAAAATAGGAAGGATGATTAGTTGCACGGCAAATAAGAGCCAGAAGAAAGCAGAGAAAGAGCTTGAGGTCATGGGTGTCAATCATTTTATTTCTTTTATTTTTACAGGGACAAAATTAGTATTATGAAAATATAAGAATCTGTTAGTTTCTTTTTTCTCATAATTTCTCTACTTTTGGAAAGATTGAAAATGAGGGTTATAAGAGAAGTTGATTTTTCTCAATTTCTCTCTATTTCTCTCTATTTAAGTTATTCAAACAAGTAAAAGAAATACATATCTCTTTATTTCTTTTTTTTTTCTCCAAATCACTCAATCCAAACATAGTGTAACTTGGAATCGATTGTTTCAATATATATTGTATTTATAGTATATATAATTTAATAATATAATAATATTAATAAATAATATAATAATATTAATAAGTATAATAAATTATTAATATTGATTAATTAACCTTATTATCATTATAATTTAAGTTTGTAAACTCTTATTATATATAATTTTAATTCTAACTCATTATTCTTGAAATCTTAATATTTTTTAACTCTTTTTTTAACTTTATTTTTGTTAATTTAGAAATTGAAAAATATTTATTAAATAGATGGATTGAATATATTTGAAATGGTGGACAAATAATTAATTTAATATTTTTATATAGATTAGTGATTCTATTTAAAAGTAGATCAAATTTGAAAGTTTCTATTCATTTTTGATTACTAAAATTGGGTATTATTTATTATTTGACCCAAAAAATACTGAATTTATATGAATATTTGACCATTTATTTATTTAAATTTATTTTATTATTTTTATAAAAATGTCTTTATATACATGTAGAGACACGCTGGGGACACGCTAAGGACACACTGAAAATTTTAATTTTTTTAAGTAAAATAGCATACCTAAGGTTGAAAATTTTGATAAAATTAAATAATAACTATTATGTCAAAATAATTTTAATTCAAAATATATTTTGGAAGCATTACTTGCTTATCAATTTTGTTCTTCTTGTCAATTTATACATAATAAAATGCATTGTATGATGAAATTCAAAAAAATTGAATCATATATTGTGGACTACCAATGAATTACATTGATGTAACTTTTAATTAGGATTGTTTGGGAATTAGGTTAAAAGCTAACTTTTTATTTTTTTGACTTCTTTTTGAAAAAATATATAAAAAAATAAAGAGGAAATGTGACCCCAAAAAAGTTAAAAGTAAAAAAAATTGTTTTAACCTCTTTGCCAAAAGTAGGGTTATGCAAAATACTGCCCAATCCATTAAAACCGCACCGATTTGCATTAATCCACACCGCTCTATCCGCTAACCGCGGTTTAAACTTTAAAATTTATAATCCACCTTCGAAACCGTTCTGCTCCATTATAAGTATATATATTTTAATCTATAATGAAATATCAAAAGTAAAAATGTGTGTGAAAGAGATTTAATATGTGAAATTTATTATAAATTAGTAATTATATATATGAAAAATATTATGTAAAATTAGTTTGTATTATATATATGAAAAATATTATGTGAATAAGTGTTATACATTATGCAAAGGCTTGATAATTAGTTAGAATATTCTTCAATCTGTCCAAAATAACTCAAACCGCAATTTGTTAATCCGACTTATAATTTTACTCTCAAACCGTCCAAACTGCACCGCGCACACCCTAACCAAAGAGGTCTAAATTAACAAGTTGAAGTTAAATATTAATTACAAAAGTACAAAATTTTAATTATTTATAGTTATGCACGCATAATCATATTTAAATTTAATGTGCTATTAATTAAACCATAATGATTTAAATTTAATACAATGCTCACGATAATTAAATTAATGTCAAGTTCATCAGTTTGGCACCATATAACATTATCAAGTGTACTAACAAATTTCACTACACCAAATTATGTATTGTATTTATTTATATAATTTGAGGTAACTTGGAGTTTAATTGATCAATTTAAGTGTTTTTTTTCAAATATTAAAACAAATGAGAGTGCAATGTTTACTGGGAATTTGTTTTTTTCCAGAGAGTCGATATTGTTATAAAGTTCAAAGATTAAGATTTAATTTGTTACCAAGGACATACCATATTATTTATTTATTTATTTAAATTTCTCCAAATGATTGTGCATTGTGATCATTAATATAGCTAAAATTCTAAAGAAATGTATAGCCTTAAATATTACAAAATGCATCTTAAGCTTCTTTATTTCATCAAATGTGCCAAAAATTTAATACTGGCACATGTAACCATTGAATATTAAACCTAGAAGCAATGAATTTGCCCACAAAAACAAAAACAAAAACAATGTTTTAATATCACCAACCTTTGTAACAAAATCTTTCCACAAATGTTGGATAAAAAAGTCGCTCCTCTCTGTCATTTGGACATATTTGCTCGGTGACAGAAGCTGCAAATGAAGTATAACTATAAATAACTTCTATATCGTACTAAGCCTTGATCCTTGAAGACTCTCCCACAACAGTCTCCATTCTTGTGTACCATTCACCAATACGGGTGTGCTCCACCATATCTCTACCCGATCTCAGATAGCGGATAGGTCTTAGAACCCCAAAGACGGCAAGATCAGCTAAATTAGGTTTTGAACCCCCTGAAACAGTTTTAAAAAGCCAAACATCAACAATTTGGTTGCAACATATCAGAGACCAAGTGAAATCACACGAGAGGTGCATATATTCAAGTCATTTGATCAAGGCTGACATGAAAATAGAATTATTTAGAAGATATCATATTTTTCAGGAATTTCAGAACTTTGGGAACACAGCCATGGGTCTTTCGAATATCCACAAATCATGGTTGAACTACTAATTTGTTGTAGGGTTTCACACTCTGCATAACATTATCAAGAAAAATGTTATCATAGATTATTCTATAAAATTTCGTTCTCCCAACTCTACAACACAATTCAAAAATGAAATGTAACTTTTCACTGTAACTTCAAATCCGAGAAACATCTTATGGATACTTTCACATGCTTCCCACCTTCCTATAGACCGAATACAAGCATCTTATGAATACAAGCATCGCTCAAAATAATGAACAAACTGTTCCAAGAAGACACTACATGATGGTTGGGCAATTTGAGTTAAATATCAATTGATATGTGAAGAGACTTGGCAACAAATTATTTATGACAAGAGGGTACGCGCATGCACACGCAATGCATGTGCAGAAATGAAAGACCAGTGTAACAGTCATCCGGGGGGGGGGGGACTGAATGTAGATGGAAGGGAGATTTTTTTTTTTTTAAAAGAAATCAAAGTTTAAAATAAAAAACTTGGCAGTTAGATAGGGGTAATTTGGGCATGAAAAATTGTGAGACATAGCTTCACCAAGTGAGCCGTGTGCTTTATATAATAGGGTAGACAGATGGAGGAAGCTGAGAGGATTTACAATTACTTAGACCACTATCTATCAATTTATTGACAACATCCAAATAGGGAAAAATGGACTTTTCATTGCCAAAAGTGTGTGTGCGCAAATGCAAATATGCATGCATATGTGTAGTGGTGTGTGGGTAGGTGAATGGTGGCTTTGCTGTGTCAGCTTCATATTCATTTTAATCATTTAATGACAAATGACTTCTGGAGCACAGAGTCTACAGACCTAGAAAGTCCCGGCCATTTAGTGCATCCACCCAAGTTTCTGCAGCTTCGTACAAGGCTGCACGTTCATCGGTAATGTTATACTTCTTCTTCAGATTCTTGGATACAAAATACATAGCTGCAGCCCCAGCATATTTCACAGTAAGTTTCTCTGTGTAGCCGAAATTACCTGCAAGTACAGGGGTCCCATGACAACAAGCATTCTTAACTAAAACCTTAAATATAACCTCTCAACAAAATTTAAGGATGGTTTTAAAATTGCATACAACATCAGCAGACATAACCCATTACCTACAAATCCAAAATAGAATGACATAAAGCAGGAATTGAAAATAAAGGGAAGGGGGCTAATGTTTCTGCTATTATGGACAGCAAATGGAACGTAAACAACATTCAATATGTAACAATGAAGCACACCATGCACTGATGGACAAAAATAAGTTGATAGTAAGTTAGGTCCTTTGCTTTTTGCTAGGCCAACAAAGAATGTAAAAAGATGGGTGCAAACCAGGCAAAAGCATCCACTATATGACTTTTAGACCTTTCAAAGGAAGTCATATGCCAATAGGCTAGGTTACACAGATTCAGGTACGGGTATTGGGTGCGGGTGCGTATCTAGGGGTCGGACACTTCAAAATTAAAAATTAAGAATACGTGGATATGTATCCAAATTTGGATACGGGTACGGGAATACATTAAATAGTTTTTTTTTTAAAAAATATATTTATTATATGAAGATGAGTTATATTATATAAATAACAAATAAAAATCTATGGAGATGAGTTATATTATATATATATTTTTTTATAAATATTTTTATTTTAATATACATTAATTATTTAATTTATTTATTATATTTTTTAAACAATGTGTTCTAATTAAATTTTTTTATTTCATTTTACATACATGCATTTATTTATTTTTTATTAATATATATAAGTATATATTATCTTATAAATATATTATATGTTATATAATAATTATTATATAATATATAATATATAATAATAATAGTTATTATTATAATTATTAACTATTAATAGTTATTAACTATTATTATTATTATTATATATTATTATAGTTATTATAATGATAGATAGATATACGAATAGATAGACAGATAATTATATGTTATATAATAATTATTATATAATATATAATAATATTTATTATTATAGTTATTTATTTATTATTATAGTTATTAACTATTAATAGTTTATTAACTATTATTATTATTATAGTTATTATAATAATAGATAGATACGAATAGATAGACAGAGTCAGGAAGAAGATAAAACGACAGAGAGAGGGAGAAGGAGAAAATGCGAAGCGATCGCGATCGCGAGGGAGAGAGAGAAGGCGAGAGATAGAGATCGGATGGGGCTTCGATCGACTGATGGAGCTTCAATCTTTGACTAGATCGACCGGATGGAGCTTCGACTGGAGGTCTTCGATCTTCGACTGGATAGAGCTTCGACTGTATCGACTAGATGGAGCTTCGACCAGGTTCTCTCTTGCTCTCTCCTCTTTCATTTCTTTTGCTGTCTGTGAAGAGCCGTGTCCGAGAGAGAACAGGCAAATTCGACACAGATCCCACACCCGCACCCGTGTCGTGTCGTGTCGACACGGGTACTTCGCCCAAAAGTGGCGAGTCCATGTAACACAGCCAATAGATCTATACCTTTTTTCTAAACATTACTAGACTTTGAACCCATAACCTCCAAAATAAAAGGTAAGTTCTTATTAACCTGGTTACATTGTATGTTGATTTGGAGTACATTCAGTAATTATATAAAATATGAAATAATATAGCATTATTTTGGTCAGGTACATGTCATATATTTTAATTATAACAATATATTCATGCACATACACATTTATACAAGTATATACAATTATACCTACATAATATTTCAAGAAGAGTATTAAAAGTGAAGATAGAGTAAAAATGTGTGATTTACATTTATTATATTGATTTTTATCTTTTATTCATTTGGATGAAGGACTTTTTTATATGCAATGCAATGTGATGATGGTTTGGGGATGGGGCTTGCACATATAATACTAAGAATTTTATATTGAGCTAAGTATAAAAGTGATTGATCTAGCTTAGCAGTTTTGTCTCTTAAATGCATAATGAGCCCCAGGTTTGATTCTCCCTCATTATTTAATGCTTTCAATAGACTAACCTAATAAGGAGCTCATTATAGCCCACTCTAACCAAACCAAACCAAACCAAACCAAGCCTTAAGTCCCATCAAATGGGGTCGGTTACATGAATCTTTCTTCTCCACGCGGCCCTATCAAAGGTCATTTCATTAGTCAAATTAAGTAGATTCATATCTCTATTTAAAACGCTAATCAACGTTAATCTAGGCCTACCCCGTCCCCTAACACTTCCATCTACCGTTATAATATCGCATCTCTTCACCACTGCCACTGTTGGTCTCCGTTGAATATGACCAAATCATCTCAAACAATTATCTCTCAACTTATCTTCTATCGGTGCTACTCCTACCCATTCCCGAATACACTCATTCCTAATCCCGTCTTGTCTAGTCTTACCACACATCCACCTTAGCATCCTCATCTCAACCACACTCATCTTATCTACATATTGTTTCTTGGTTGCCCAACACTCCGTCCCATACAACATAGCTGGTCTAATAGCCGTTCTATAAAACTTACCTTTTAGTCTAGTGGGTATTCGTTTATCGCACAATACCCCAGACGTACTTCTCCACTTACACCATCCCACCTTAATCCTATGGGCCACATCTGCATCAATCTTTCCCGCTGTTGTGATAATCGACCCTAGATAACGAAAATGTTCACTCTTAGGCAATTCTTGGTTCTCAATCTTCACTTCTCCTCTGCTTTCATTGTTACTGTTACTAAATTTACACTCCATATATTCTGTCTTAGTTTTGCTTATCCGAAATCCTTTAGATTCAAGAGCTTTTCTCCAAATCTCTAACTCTGTGTTAACTCTTTCTCTAGTCTCATCTACTAGCACAATATCGTCTGCAAAAAGCATGCACCATGGCACGTCATCCTGAATATTTATCGTCAACTCGTCCATAACTAAAGCAAAAAGATAAGGACTTAAGGTAGATCCTTGGTGTAACCCTACAGTGATAGGAAATTCATTTGTCTCTCTAGCTGGCGATCTAATGGTGGTCACCACCCCTTCATACATGTCCCTAATCACATCAATGTAACCTTTTGTCACCCCTTTCTTCTCTAACACCCACCATATTATATCCCGGGGCACTCTGTCATATGCTTTCTCAAGGTCGATAAACACCATATGAATGTTTCTTTTCTTTTCTTTATACTTTTCTATTACTCTCTTCAAAAGATAGATTGCTTCCATTGTTGACCTACTAGGCATAAACCCAAATTGATTCTCTGACACCTCTGTTATATCTCGCAATCGGCGTTCCATCACCCTCTCCCACACTTTCATTATATGACACATTAACTTGATTCCTCTATAATTGTTACAATTCTGGACATCACCTTTATTCTTCTAGATTGGCACTAAAATACTCCTCTCCACTCATCTGGCATATTCCTAGTCAACAAAATTTTGCTAAACAACCTAGTCAACCAACCAACTCCCTTTTTACCCAAACACTTCCAAGCTTCAATAGGGATATCATCGGGTCCCAAAGCCTTATTTGATTTCATCTTCTTAAGTGTAGTTTCCACTTCAAAGTTCCTAATCCTGCGATAGAACCTATAGTCTTGGTTTATCGTATTACTAGCTATTTCTTCCCTTATTGTCGTACCTCTATGTTCCTCATTTAATAGTTTCTCAAAATAATTCTTCCATCTTTCCTTAATCTCATCATCCTTTACCAATACCTTAGAATCCTCACTCTTGATGCACTTTACTTGATTAAAATCTCTTGTTTTCCTCTCTCGTATCTTAGCAAGTTTGTATACCCTCTTCTCTCCCTCCTTACTATCTAATCTAGTGTATAGGTCATCATATACTTTCAATTTGGTCTCTCTCACTACTTTCTTGACCTCCTTATTAGCTAATCTATAGCACTTAAGGTTTTCCTCAATTCCATCCTTCTGCCACTTTTTAAAGCACTCTTTTTTTGCCTTAACTACTGCTTGAACCTCTTCCCTCCACCACCAAGTTTCCTTGGAACTGGGTCCCGTTCCTTTCGACTCTCCAAGCACTTCCCTTGAGATTCTCCTCATACAATTAGCCATCGAGTTCCACATAGTGTTAGCATCACCTTCTAAGTCCCAAGTACCTTCCTTATCCATTCGATTCTTAAATATTTCTAGTTTAGTAGGGGTAATTGGTTACCCAATTACAACCTGTGTAGAAAATAAGTGAACACAACCCATGAAATAACAAACGGGTTCAGGCGGGTTGTCATGCTCAGGTTAGCATTGCCACCTCTACTTGCATCTCAAGAATTTATCATAAGTGCATGAAAATCAAGAAATATATAAACCAATAATATCTTATGTGTCTTCTCTATCCAATTAAGTGAAGAAACACATCAAAACCAACTCCTCAATTTACAAATTAATGTATTAATCCACATACATTCACCATTGCTTGAGATATAATCAAAGGACTGGAGACTTGTGTAAGTATATATATATCACTGTTTGGTGGTACGATATGCACCAAAGGATAACCATATGCATTATTTTTTTACAAGGTCCACGTATCTTACCATTGCTAGTAATATAATCAAAGGACTCCAAAGCCTCAGAAGTATTTCGGTAGATATTTGGAGAGAGAACATGCACCAAATGATTATCAACCCATCTGTAACATAAAACAATAAACCAAATGCGTCAAAAGCTCAATTCCATTAACACATCATATCTGTCCTAATAGGAATGTAAGCATTACTAATACTAGCAATGGGTGCAAATGTGATTCTATCGCAATTTTACATTTAAATTTTTGAATGGTTTGATGACTAAGAAAAACTGTTTTGCAGTCATTAGATGTGGCAGTTATTGAATATGAAGGGCTTTCTTGGAGGGGAAAAAATAAAAAAAGAAGAAAGAAAGAAAGCATAACAGCGTTCACACCAAATGGGGTGTATGTATGCTTTACATAATCAAATAGATAAGTTAATCCTACCACAACAAATAACGGCAATAAAAGTTTCCATATAACTAAAAGCCAAGCACATTAAGGAAAAGCTCTGGAGTATCAATTTTGACCCAAGTAAGAAGATTAAAAAATCTAAAATTTGTTTTTGTAATCAAATTTTTTTTTTTTGGTCATGCCATATTTTAAATTTTCTTAGTTAAATTTTGATTCTATTTCTTGAAGTTTGTTGACACAAGAACATCCTTGAAGTAGCAAAATTTGTGGGCTTAGGTTTGGAATGTAGTAGTGGCCCATGGGCCGTATGTGTTTTCATGCACATCCACCCAATTAACGTTAATGGATCTTCAAGTGTGGCCTTGAGTATATTAGGTGTTTTCATAGTTTAATTTGAAGTTCCAAAAAAAATGAATTCCTATTCCTTGTAGAATTAAGAAACAACTAACATCTAATATCTATGAACTTTGGTCATTTAAAAGAATTTCCCAGCAATTATTAAACCTCTTTTAAGGATCATTGTCATGACTGTAGGTATGATGCCAAAGGAATAGCAGTGACATGCTACTTTGAACATTTAGACAAGCCTAAGTTGGAAAAGCAACACCTTCGCTCCACCCAAACCTTTCATTCTTCATATCTAACAGCATAAAATAACTGCCTCATTGCAAAGAACATGGGGCAAAAATGCTGCAGGTCTGGAGAGTGGTATGCACATGAGTGTAAAATGGGGTGGAAAGGGAGACTACACAATAGAAGAGCCAGAGGGAGATCCAACAATTAATACTACGAGATTCTAGCAACTTTTCACCATCAAATCAAAGCCTATTCTACACCCTACATATTCAATAACTTTTATAGTAACGGCTAAAGGAAAAAATTAACCACAACTATCAAATTATACAATTAAACAGACTTCTTTGACATATATAACATCATTTTCTACCTTCATAAATGTGAACATCATGTGCCTTGTGGGGTCTAGTAGAGAACACAGAATCACACTCAAGATCATATATCTGTATTAATCATACAAATCACTTCCCCTACGCTTTCAGCATCATGTATCCAGCCAGACAAATCACATTTCACCATTATTATTTATCTAGCAACGCAAACAACCATACTAATACTATAGTAAGGCAAACAGCATATTTTACTAGCAGCTAGCCAAATTACTTCAAACAGTTTGCACCAAAAAATATTGAATACAAATCAGTCAAAAATCCAGTCCCACCGTGCTAACTCTCAGGTTTAAAAGTAACCTCTAAGGTTTTTATTTTTCTTTTTCTTTTTGTTTCTTTTTCTATTTTCTTTCTAATTCTGAAGTTCGAGATTAACTGGCCAGCAGAATTTTCTTTTGTGTGAAACATGCAAGTATTTAAAAAATGAAAACTGGATAGATAGATAAATATGATACCGGCGCCATTTTTTCTCTTCATCATCATTAGGGACTGAATCAATAGATTTCTCAGGAAGAATCTTGCTGCCCAGCTTATCAATTATATCTGCAAAATGCCACAAGCTTGTGATAACAAATATAAACTGATAACAAATCCATAGCACGGCTAGTTTTCCGTACCATATTATACATTTCAATCAGAAATCCAATCAGGAGAATGGGGTGGGAAAGGAATGACAATAAGGATGGGAAGAGAGGGGTGACAATTTTACTTATAATAGCAATAGAAAGAACCTGATGAATCAACCAGCTGCTCACCATCCACCATAAGTATAGGCACTTTTTTGTAATCAGACCATTTAATTTCCTTTTTACTAAGTGGGTTCACCTCCACAACTTTGTACGGTAAATCATAATAGTCCAAGAATGCTGAGATCACAAATAAACACCCAAACTTTTAGCCACTAAACAAGAAAATAACGCAAGAAGGAAAGCATATAGCAAAACAGTGATATCATGATTCCATCTTCCACAAACCATCTCGCATAGTCTTGTGGCATATTTTAACTGATTAATCCATCCATATCAAGAGAAAAAACAGAATAGAAATGATATACTAAGAAATATAAGTTAATCAAGAAATAGCATGGCATATTTTATTTCACATGGAACCCACCTTGAACATTACATAATTGTGTGCAAGGTTAACTTAAGTCTAAATTTTATGATTTATAAGTTATAATGCAGCTAGACAAGTTTATTTGTGTTTTATTAGGTTTTAGTATGCAAGCGTATCCTAGTAATCTTAAGACCTGCCAAACATGGTTAACCGTTTGGTAAATGAGTCACAACATAAATCATATTTTTAGGTCTCATATGATGAGGCTTTTAATCGTTCTAGAATATCCTATTTAGTCAAAGTTTGTTAATCACTGTTGTAAGTCACATTCCTCGTAAAACTAGAAAAAAAATCTGGTAACTTATTATTAGCATCTAATTGGTCATTTAATAGGGATTTATATTTTGAGAATCCATAAGAAAGGTTGTGAAGCTTTGTGTGGTGCAAAGCTGCAGAAATTTAAGTGGGATTCCTAAATTCTTCTTTCATTTTATTCCTTTTAACCTTTTCTCTTTGCAAAAACAACATTATCACCAGGTTACTTGTTTTATATACCTCTTTTTTATCCCTTTCAACATTACAAAAACAACAATATTATTGCCAGGTCCTTGTTATAGACCTCTATTTAGCCCTAACCCTACCAAATCAAGCCTAGAATAGTCCTAATCCCTTTCTAGGCTTTGAATTAGCACCAAAAGCCATTGTCTTAGAGAATTCTAGCATCTATTTCCCCCTTTTATGCTAACATATAATCAATCAGTGACTCATTTTCCCTATAATTCAACAACATTGTACCAAGCAGTCCAATCTTTTATCAACCAAACAGTCCTATCATCAGTTCAATTTAATTTCAATGTAACAATCACTCATTTTATGAACAATTTAGCAACATTGCAAAATACAATATCTATGAACCAGAAAACGAGATCAAGAACAACAACAACAAAACGAAAAATAAGTATAGCTCACCTTTAACCTTATTACAGAAAGGGCAAGCTTCGTACTGATAAAGGACAACCTCCTTGGGAACAAGCTCCGGCGGTGGACGCTCCTTAGCGTAGGCCTCCTGAAACAGTGACGTGGCTCCGGCGACCGTGACCAGAGCTCCGGCGAGTCCGAGAGACGCGATTTTGGCCGAGCTGGCGGATAGGGCGGCGGACAACCAACGGCGGCGAGAGGAGAAGCTAGTGGCGCCGTCGCTCGCGGCGGTTCCGTAGAAGACGACGTGGAGGAGCCGGTGGTGGACCGTGGCGACGGCGGTGGCGTCGTGGTAGGGGAGGAGAGCTCGGTAGATGACGGAGGAGGCGAGAGTCGAAGCTCTTCTCATGGTGTGAGGAGATCCAAGTTGAGAGTAAAAGCGTGTTGTTAATGGAGTTGTGCAGAGAGAGTTTTGGGTTTGTCTTTCAGATGGAAGAAAAAAGTCGATTGAAAATTTATTTACGCTTCGAGGCCTTTCGAAACGAGACTGCCTGCTGGCTATTGCGTGGCTGTTTAATAACTTCAAAATACATCACATTTTTTCCCCCAATTTGTTAATTTTGTGGTTTTTTTTTTTTTAAATTATATGAAAAGAATTCGTAATTTTTTTTTATGATCTTATATCTAAAGCTTTGTTTGGTAATTTTTAATTTTAGTTAAAAAAATCATTATAAATTACCATATCATTCTTTTTATTTTTTTGCACATCCTTTCATAAAAATTAAAAAATTACTAAAATCAAGCCACATCCATATTATAACATATATCAACAATGCTTAAGTTTTATAGTTCGAAGACTCGAATATCTTAAAATAATGTTGTTTTAGGTATAAAACGATATCGTTTTAATATATTCGAACTATTCGAGCTACATGAATTTGACTTATCAAATATTTTTTAGCATATAAACGGATTATTCTTAAAAATGAATAAGTTATATAAATAAAATGATCTAATAGTATAATAATCGATGTTGGATTAATAGATTTTGTTTAGTTCACATTTCCATAAACTATTTTTAGACGTCCTTTGTCTTACTATGTTTTTCATATTTTAGTTTTTGTTTTTAATTTTTGAATACATAAAGACTAGATGTATCTAAAAAGTAATTAAAAAAATAAATAAATCACTAAAATATAAATTCTCAAACAAAAAATGTACACGGTTTTTTGTTTAAATTTTTATTTATTTTTAGTGATTTTTTTAAATATTTTAATCAATTTATTGCACTTTTTAAATGTAAATTGATTATATGCATCTAAAAAATATTATAAAAAAAATTAAATTGTAAAAAAAACACTAAAAAAATAAAAAAAAATTTTAAAAATAACTTTTCAAAAATCAAACCAAACATAATTTTCTTAGACCTTTTCTAACCCTTACTCAAATATTTCATCAAATTTAAATTTGTCAAAAAATGCTAACTTTTTAAGCCCTAATTGTGTCATCAAATGATGGCAAAATTAAAATTTTTATCAAATCAAAGAAGTATTTAATTTTTTATCAAATTTCAAAAGTGATTGTTAATGAATAACCGAGTGGACAACCAACCAGATAATCAAATTCAGAAAATTTTGATGAAAATTTGCTCTAAGTCCGATGACCAGCTATATTTGATAAAAAGGTTAAACCTTATCTTATCAAATCAAATTTTTACATAAATTTAATGAAAAATTTAAGCGTGGGAGAACTTCTTAATTAATTATATAAGTCAAATAATAAATTAACTTAAACCCTAACAAATGACTCATTAAAAATAAAATTGAAACCAAACACGTCCCATGTTTCCTAAGGATTGGTTTGGAAAGTGGGTTGACTTTTTAATTTTTTGGTTTTTTTCGTTATTTTAGCTTGGACTAAAAAGCTTGGTTTAGGAAGGACTTTTTAATTTTTTGATTTTTTTGACTTTTTTTGTGAAAGAAGAGTATAATAATTATGAGTTAAATGTGATATTTTATTTTTTGTGACTAAAATAATCTATTTTATCTTTGTGAAAAAAAAAAACCTAGTTTAGCTCTTCCCCGCAGTCCCTTAAACCCTTCAAAACCCTCTCTCTGTCTCTCTCTCCCCCCCCCTCCCCCTCCCCCTCTGAAGATGTCAGCTTCGCGTTTACTCTCTCTCTTGGGAGCTTCAATCTTCCATAGCGGCGCATCTCTCTCTCCACCCCATCCAATTCGATTCAACAACCTCCTCTCTCCTCGTCTCTCACCTCTTCGGTTCCGCCGCTACATTTCCTCTTCCGCCGCCGTAGATAATATCTCCGGCAACAGCCTAGAAACTTCTTCTTCCGATTCTCATCACCCGTGGCCCGAATGGGTCGCCTTCGTCGATCGCTTGCAGGCCAAAGGCTACTTCGCCGGAAATTCTTCCTCTGCGGCGGCGGCGGAGGAGGAGGAGGGTGAGGATGGTGGTGGTGGAGGTTTTTACAAGGACATGAATGTATTGAAGGACGCTTCTCTCAGCTTCGCTCGTGACCGTTTTGACATTTTCAAGTAAGGGTATTATTTTCCGTTTTGGTTTCTCGGAAAATTTGGAAGAAAACAAAGGGAATTCAAAATTTTAGGGTTATGATTGCTGTGTCTTTTGTTTCCCAAAGACCCAAAAACTCAACATAGTGAAGCTGAATATGTGTATTTAAGACCTTTGTTTATTGGGTCCTGCTGGAAATGGCCAGCTGGTGTTTGTTAAGGATCAAATAATGTTTTTAAGTTAGAAATTCAATACACATTTCGCACATTCTCGTACAATTGTATATATTTCTATACACTTTTTTTTACAAATAGGACATCATTAACCCCTGCCCGTTGGGCGGTGATTAGCATTTCGCTTGTTTATTTTCTTCTTGTTATGCAGATCATTGTCTCGGGAAGATATTCAGACAGTTGTGGGGAGTGGGTGTCCTAATCTTTTACGAAAAGCTGTTAATTCAGCTAAAAGGTTGAGAGCATATGTGCGACTTGATGAAGGAGATGTAAGTTCCTCCATTAATTAATCAAGCATTTTTATCAGTTGGGTTATCAGTGAAAAACATATTGTGCGTATCTTAATTAATCAAGCATTAAACTTAGTTGATTTTTTTGCTCTGACTGACACGAATACTAAAGTGCAGGTATGTAGTGCTTGCAATCTGCGAGGATCATGTGATAGAGCTTATGTTATACTAAAAGAAACTGAAGCAGAAGCACGCACAGTGGATGTTGTGCGTATCTTATTGTTCTATGCACTGGATCCACTTGTTATTTCTGGTGGGGAAATGCCTCCTGGTAGAGCTCTTGTTGAAGCATCCGCAAGAAATTTGCTTTCGGACTTGATTGTACTCAGTGAAACTTCACCTAATCATACACTTCCGAAAGCTGCAGTACAAGCTTCCCATAAGAAGGACCGGTCTCTAAATTTTATCAATGATGAATTCTCTACAGATGTTGAAATGAAGAGGGGAGATTGGATGTGTCCCAAGTAAGTCAATCTTGGTTATTTTATTTTATTTTTTATAACATCCCCCCCCCCCCCCCAAAAAAAAAAAAAAAAAAATGCCGCAGATGAGGATGCATTTGATTTGATGTCTATGATGAGATTGATTCTTGGTTCTCAAGGACAAAAAAGGTTTCAGCTGACAATATACACATGGCAATCTAGGATTCTTCTATTGTTCAAATTTCAATTAGAAACCCCTGTCACCTTGAACATTAGTTTGACGGCCAATCTTCATTTATAAAGGTTATTTCCCCCCTTCTATGAGTACCTCTTTGCCTTTCCTGCTACTTCTGTGTTCCTTTCACTTTAACCTTTCATCTCCTCACCGTGGTTGCACCTAGGAAGAAATTGTCTCAAGGAAGTGACGAAACTGAGGCCAGAACCCAAATCAGGTGACTCTTAAAATGCCAAGGGGACTCATTAAGCCATTAATAATCTATGTTTCTCTTACCTTTTCCCCGTTAGTGATTTGGAAGCTTTAAGTAGGTTCAACAAAGAAGATGGACAAAAAATGCCGGTTTTGGATCCCGGGGAGTTGTCTTGGAATCTTGTCTTTCTATGATTGGCGTCAAGTAACTTTCTTGAAGTTGAAATGCATGCACTTGATGAACAAATGCAGTTTTCAGTACATATTGTCTGAATATGTTTTTTCTTTCTCCCCATCTTTCATTACTTAGCTATTGCTTGCATTCCAATTGAGTCACTGTCTCACAGACTTTCTTCAATCGATGAACTCATGTCCTTGAACTTTCTTTGTAGATGCAACTTCATGAATTTTGCTAAAAATCAACGATGCCTTAAATGCAAAGAAGATGGCCCTAAAAAAGTTGGTTTCGATGATGTCGAAATGAAGAAAGGAGATTGGATCTGCCCCGAGTATGTTCTCAATTATCGTAATAGTGATATACTTGAAAAATATTTATGTTTTAACTTTTTTTCCTGGTGTGATTTTTTCAGCAGTATTGCTCTATCCTTATTACTGTTGTATTGTTAGAGATGCAACTTGCATTTTCAACAATTGTTAGTTTACCCCTTTATTAGCACACACAAACCCTTAAAAAACCCTATATTTTTTCCACCTTTCTTCCATAAATGCTAACCGTACGCAGTCCTAAGTAGAATCCTTTTGTTGTTTTCCATTAATTTAGGCTTACTACTAGTAGTGGAGTGATCCCCTGCTCATCCTTCATCATTAGGCTTTTTATTATACGAACTTGTCAAGATGTGAGAAGCACCAAAAGCACCAATGTTTGGTGCTACAAGACAGGATATGGGTATGGATGTGGGATATGATTGTAAGGTCACTCTGCAAAGAAGTGACGGAAAATGTATCTAGCACACTTGAATTTGTATAGGGCGTTCGAAACTATTTTCTATTAGTAAATAGATATTTCCAGATTAGTGGAGTTACTCGTGTTTAGGCAGCTATTTTAGAGAAAATCTTATTTTTACCTTAAGTTAACAAATGAAGATTAGTTAGGCATAGTGATAATCGGGCAGTGTCCCCAAGTCCTAAGATTATGGGATTAGATGAATCCAATGCATTGGCACACACCTGCTGTATACCTGATTCCATACAACATGGAATTTTTCTTCATATATTTGGTTCTACAACATTAAGGGCTTTGATTGGATTAGAAGAAACCTTAAAGGTGGTTGCTCACACTCTTCCTAATTTCTTCTTGTTAGACTTCTTCCCCATCTTTTTCTATGTTCTGCTTTTGTAACATTCTTCTCTCCTTTCTCTCTTAACCTAAAGTTGTTGGATGTGAGAAGCTTTCTTGTACTTGGTTGGTTGCTTGTTCCTTTCTCACAGATGCTAGCACTAATTTGTTGGTTTTACATCAGTTGACTTATTCTTCATAGCAGTGTTATCAAAAGCGTATGCGCCTAGGGCACAAGGTGTGCCTAAGCACCCCTGGGGCAAGGTGACTTTAATGAAGCACGGTTGAGGTGTACAAGGTGCATCAAGGCACAATCCTCTTTCAATTGTGCTTGATTTGTTAACAATGTGATGTCAACCCTTCAATATAATGAAGCCCATTATAATCTTGTGTGCTGGCACTGCTATCAATGCCCCCCAAATAAATAGAGCCTCAACCCTAGTCAACAAATTGAAGATACATACGAAAGCTTTTATATTTTTGCTTATATACCACTTTTTTTGTTTTACATTTTTGAGTTTCAGAAACCTTTTTAATATAGTTATTTGTTGGAGTCATAAAATGCTTGCATCTTAAGAATTTCATATATTTTTTATGGGAATGATGCCCTGCATACTTTGTTGCAGATGCAGTTTCATGAATTTTTCTAGAAATGTACGGTGCTTGAAATGCAAAACGGAGGGCCCTAAGAGGGTTAGTGTGGATGATGTTGAAATGAAGAAGGGAGATTGGAACTGCCCACAGTAAGTTTGTTATTGTTTTCCACCTGTTAAGAAACATACCGTGGAATAATGCTTAATTTTACTGCCATATTTTGATGGACAAGTTGTGGCTTTAATTACATAGTATTAGAATGCAAATATTAGGATAGTTTTCTAATTAAATTTGGATTTTTGTGGTCTATTTATATTAGGTTTTTGACATTGTAATATTTAGCTTTGATTAGTAAGATACATTGAGATTGAGAAAAGACTAGCTGTTGTGTGTTCCTCTCCATCTCTTTTGGTTCTACACCACTCATCTTATTGTTGTTTGCAGGTGTGGGTTCATGAATTTTGCAAGCAACAGAAAGTGTTTACGATGCCGAGAGCAACGTCCCAAGAGACAGCTGAATCCTGGAGAGTGGGAGTGCCCCTCGTGAGTCTCTCTCTCTCTCTCTCTCTCTCTCTCTCTCTCTCTCTCACACACACACACACACACACACACACACACACACACACACACACACACACACACACACACACACACACACACACACACACACACTTTTTTTTTTTTTGTAGATGTGATTTCTTGAATTACAGAAAGAACATAGTGTGCCTGAAATGCGATTGTGAACGCCCCAAAGACGTGTCGACACAGTATGAAGACCAGCTTTGGCATCGTCCTAATTAGGTAGCTTCTTGACAAATCCTGTGCACGTTTATTTATAAATGGAGATGATCACGAGAACGCGAAAGTACCCACCAGATAATTTGTTGGGGCATTCGAATTCCACAAGCAGAGAGAAGATAACCAAAGGTGGCTATAGTTTTCTGTTTGTAATTTTAAAAACCGATAAATTCTGTGGCGTTCTGGGCTGGGCTGTGTGGTTTCAGCCTCTCCGATTGTTTTTTGTTTCCTTGAAAGTATTTTAAGTACATGTTCCTTTGATGAAAAACCCAAAGCATTTGTTAGTTGTTAAAACACAGTATTTTAGGCATCTTGTGTGAATTCTTCTATCCTGTTGCTCAAAAGAGTGGTCTGCCCAAGGTCCCCCATTTCAATGGCAGATTAAATATTCACAGATTATGTTTTTCTGGTTTTTACTTTATTTATTTTATTTTTAAAACCTCAATTTTGAGCAAGCTCATTAAGATAAACAAGTCTCCTTCACACTTTTTTTTGTGGTTTAGACAAATTATCCCATGCATAATGGATAAATAATCTTTAGAAGGGAGGTATTGTTAAAGGAAAATGTTTAAGATTTCCAAAATGTCATTGCAAAATTTATTCACTATAATTTTAGAATATGCCAGTTATTTATTTATTTAGAAATCAATCAACTAAACTAATCCCTGTAACCTTAGCGTAACTCAAAAGACATTCCTATATTTTATTTGAGGGAAAATGTCTCGTAGCTTAAATTTTGTGGCTCAAAAGTGGTTTAAATGGCCAAAAGTTGTTTTGGCCATTTTTATGTTGTTCTGTACTCAAAACGACGCCGTTTTGGTCATTTGAGTCACTTTGAGCATTTTTTATGTTGTTCTGTACTCAAAACGACGTCGTTTTGGCCATTTGGGCCACTTTTGAGTCACAAAATTTGAGTTACGTAACATTGTCGTTGTTTGAGAGTAGTTCTCTATAAACAAACTTTTTATTATTGGATGGGAAAGAATAAGACACGATTGAGGATTTTTAAGTTTTGAAGCATACAAAAAGAGTCATTTTGGTTTGGAGTAATGCTGGGTGGCCTGAAAAGGTAGTTGATTCGAATGGTCCAAATTTCACCTCGCCGGTTGTCTAGGCGGACGTTTAGCGAGGAGACTGACAACTGCGGTCGACAAAGGTGACAATCACGGTCGACAAGTTTTCATCTGGTCGTCCGAGTAGACGTCCGACCAACACCCATTCGGGAGCCGCTCCTTTTTGCGCTACCAAAATGCTTTGGTTTGTTATCAAATCAGTCTTAAAAGAGTTGCTTTTTTAGACTAAAATAAATGAAAAATACTAGAGGTCCCAAATTTTCTATCAAATAAATGACCAAATGTCTCACATAAGTGGGGGCCCACAAAATTGCAGACTCCACACTCATGTGAGACATTTGGTCATTTGTTTGGTAGAAAATTTAGTATCTCTAGCATTACCCAAAAAAAATGCTCTGCGTTAATGCGTGGACCATAAGCCCCTACTTGCCCCATCTATTCTAGCTAACCAAGGGAGACCCATGCAGCAAGAAACAAGAGATCTTGCGGATTCTTAACTTGCAAAAAATTGGAAAAACTAAACCACGTATAAATTGAGTCACATTTCAAAATCTAATTTAACCGCTCAGTGGCACACTAGTTGTGTTAAAAAAATTTGTTTGTGTAACTTTTTTTCTTTAGGTCGTAAATTTGGTGAGTGAAAAAATGAGAATAATGCAGAGAAAACTATGAGAGAGAAATTATGTGAGAAATATTTAGTTTTAAATATCACTCCTTTCCTTTTCCATGAATTCTTATCATTTCATATGTCATTTTAATCTAAGGTTTCTTAAAATAGGACAAAAAGACAGAACAAAAATTTCTCACTTTCCTCCTCAATGCCCCCACCAAATTCAAGTACAAAACAAAGCCTAACAAAATTTTTGATCCAAAAAAAGAAAAAAAAAAAGAAAAAGAGAGGAACATAAAATGCAAAAACAAAAGGAGGTTGGAAAGTCTGACTATAAGTACATGACATTGGTTATTTCTTTCTGTAAATATAAATAAATGATGCACAAAAATAAAATAAAATAAAAATAATAAGTAGACCTTTTCTTCCATGTGCCAAATCTATGTTAAATAAATACAAGTTCTTCATCTCTGCTAATGAAAGGGCACATTTCTTGTTTCTTTGCCTCAAAGCCTCTCTAATCTGCAACATGCCCAAAACAACCGAGGCTGCTCTCTGTCTGGTTTGGAGGAGAACCCAACAACTATACATCATTCTGCACTACAAAGCTTACCTTTTTTTCACCAGTTAATTGGCCACAGGAGCAACAAGGTCAATAGGTGGTTGTGGGACCACCTCCCCGGCACCAGCAGCAGCAACAGCATGCCTGCGTTGTCGCTCACGAAGGTAAAGGACTGTCAGTAGGCAGACGAAGAGAGTGAGTATTGTCGCGTTTCCTTCCTCCATGATCACATTTTCCACCCATGCTTCCATTTTGGGAAAGACATCAGGCAGTGAATCAATCATATCAACCTAGAATAAATTCCAACGTGGCATTATTTACCAATTTCAACAATTTACATCTGATTTCTGCATTTTGAAGAAGATGACCAGGTATTTGAGACAAAGAAACTCACCATGAAACTGTTCTCATAGTTCTTTCGTACCCACAAGCTAGCAAGGGCCAGCGTTACAGGCAACTTTGCTGCAGGATCAATCTCTAGTGCCTGATCGTAGTAACGCTTGGCAAGATGAAGATCAAAGGGAAGCCCTTCACCATGTTCATGCATGTATCCAAGGTTGAACATGGCTTGCGCATTGGACTGGGATTTAGCATGCTTGTAAGCCTCTGCGGCACGTTCATAATCTCTTTCCGTACCCTGAAAATTGAAGTAGAATATAAAACAGAATAAGAACTATAGTCTTAAAAACTATAAATCCTACACCATAAATCCTACTCTTTTAGAGTTACATACCCGGCCATAGTAATATGCATCACCGATCAACAAAGCAGCATGTTCATTACCCTGCTCAGAAGCTTGCCACCATAAAGAATGTGCACGCTGATGACTTTCTGTATCAGTGCAGAAACCTGATTCTCCCATGCACATACTACGCTGTCCGTATTTGTCAAGAATCCAAGCAGCATTACTTTGTGCCACCTCATAGCCCAACTCAGCCATCCTTGAGTACAATAGAAATGCCTTGCCCACATCACCTTTCAAGTACGACTCTAATGCCCATCTAGACAAGGAGCTCCACGGTCCACGTTCTGCAACCAGCTTGTATAATCCAGTTGCCTGAAACCAAGCAGGACTCAACCATGAACAGATGCATGGATGTGTATTCATCTTGATATCATTCATAATCAATTCAAACGACAAGAGACAATAAAAAAGTCATACATTAAACCAGAACATGTAAGCATTATGATCCAGAAGAGAGCGAAATATGATTTCTACCAACTAAATATTATAAAGACAATTAGATCACTAGAAACCTTTTTGTAACTTTGTACAAACCCAGAACAAAGACAGTAGCTGAGTTCAAGAGTAAATTTGAAGCCTTATTTTATCAGCCTATTTATGTATGTAAACATGCTACAAAATCAAAATAAAGAACTGCTTGATAAGAAAAACATAAGGATTAGGCATAGAGAGATCAAAATTCACCAAGTCATCAAAACTTTGTCAGTTATCCTATGAACAACTTCAACTGAAGCAATTTCCTTCTGTATTGAAATGTAACATGAAAGTCCAATAAGATGAATCAAACAACTTCAACTGAAGCAATTTCCCTCTGTATTGAAATGTAACATGAAAGTCTACTAAGAAGAATCAAACAACAGCATGTAAAATGTGTATAATCAAAAGGATTATAATGACACTACATGCTATTATACTAATTAGATCAACTCAAAGTTCAAGCAAATTAGCAATGGTAACACATCAAAATAAATAATACTAACCATATTCCCTTTCAATGGAATAGCAGGTGAACAGAGTCTTTTTATTTCTCACATTTCCTTTTATTAAATTGAAAAGTGAATAAAAAGATTTTGTCACAGACAGGGGGGCAGGGGGAGAGAGAAGAGAGAGAGAGAGAGTAATGGGGATTATCAAAGCATAGGAAGGCACTGAGCAGAAAAATGTTGGTTCCGTTTGGTAGAGTTTTCTAAATATGATTTGAGAATAGAGTTGTATTTTGAGTTTGTGAGTTTTGAAATTATGATTTGAGTGTGGAAAATTTGTTTGGTGAATGAGTTTTGAAAAGAGTAGGGAATTTTTGATGTGACATATGATATTTGATACAAAAACTTACAACTTATAACCAAAAACACAACTCAAAATTCTATTAAATCTCATAAATTTTTTTTAAAAATTCGGAAAATATTTTTTATTGAATATATAAAAATTAACATGTGTCAATTGCCAAAAAAAAAAAGCACTATTCCGGTCAATCGGCTGGACGGCCGGTGGGACGACCGGTTAGCATAAATTCTTCCGTCTTCGACCAAGTTTTCAAAAGTGAGTGTGGAATTAATTTTTAAAAATCCTAAACAAACACTATGCTCAAATCAAGCTCTGAAACTAACGTTCTAGAGCTCCACCAAACAAAGCCGTCCTTTTTTCCCATCCTTTGCCCAAGCCTCTCACGTCACTCTTGTTCTCAAGAGACAAAATATAAGATCAGATGAGTAGCATTTTCATTTCAAACTATGTAAGGGCTTAACATTAGGTTCCACAATATTTATGTACTTTTTCTACAATGTATAACAATTGACACTTCTCAAATGCAATTGTGAGCAACTCTTTCGAAGTTAAGTTTTTATTGAATATATAAAAATTAACATGTGTCAATTGCAAAAAAAAAAAATGTACTATTCCGGTCAATCAGTCAGACGGCCGGTGGGACGACCGGTTAGCATAAATTCTTCCGTCTTCGACCAAGTTTTCAAAAGTGAGTGTGCAATTAATTTTTGAAAATCCTAAAAAAACACTATGCTCAAATCAAGCTCTGAAACTAACGTTCTAGAGCTCCACCAAACAAAGCCGTCCTTTTTTCCCATCCTTTGCCCAAGCCTCTCACGTCACTCTTGTTCTCAAGAGACAAAATATAAGATCAGATGAGTAGCATTTTCATTTCAAACTACGTAAGGGCTTAACATTAGGTTCCACAATATTTATGTATTTTTTCTACAATGTATAACAATTGACACTTCTCAAATGCAATTGTGAGCAACTCTTTCAAAGTTAAGTCAGTCACTTGGTAAACCAAAAGGCTATCTGGTCCAACCATTCTCCAGGGACAATTGGCATTGACAGAGGGAGATATAAACAAAACAAAACAAAACCAAACCAAAACAAAATGAAAGGAAACATGAGTAAAAATAAAGTAGTGAGGGTCTAAGGTAAGTAAAGACCAAAATAGATACAAAGACACTAAAGGTAAAAGCATAGCAAACAAACAGAAACAGAAAAGATCATGCATTCAGATTTACCATAGGGAGGTTTAACTTGAGCCCCACACCAGTATGAAACATCTTTGCCAGCTGATAAAATGCCTTGGGTTGACCCTTATTAGCAGCCAGTATAAAGAATTTGCATGCTAGCTTTACATCCCTTTTTACACCGATGCCTTTGAGATACATCACTCCCAGATTGTAATTCCCACCAGCTTCCTCATTCTCAGCAGCCTTCTCAAAGTATTCTTTTGCCTGTAATGCAAAATAATCAGCAGGTTACACAAACCCTGAAATTAATCTATTTAGACAGACACAGAAGAACCACAAGTGAGCAAGCTGCAGTTGCAAGGAACAATAGGGAAAAGCTTCTTAAAAATTTAAGCACAAAGAAAAAAATATTGCAGTGGTATTTTTCTAAACAAGCTCTTCCTAGATCCAACTCTATTCAACCGTGTTCACATGTGAGAATGAAAACTTCTGAGTAAAGAAGAGGATGTAATTATTGGGTAGGATTCCCTTGACGATTCTCCTCTCTAATTGTGATGAAGCAAGTATAATAAAAACCTATTTAAAGGCGCAAAGGAAAAGAGTCAGAGGCAAGTGCCTGTTTGTTTATTTATTTTGGTAGGGGATGCATCCATTACTAAAAACGACACTTGCAGTCCACTTACAAATGTATGGACATAGTTTCTTTTATAAAGTGCTCAATGACACCGAGCCACTATCTATTATTTTGATATTTTTTGAAATATATCCGTTGTACTCAATCATTTTGGTCTGAACCAAGTTTCTTCTACATCCTCTTCCAACTTCTTGTCCAAACAAGAGATAACTAAACTCTCCAACAATTATTTGTGTTGAGGACATAAATAATAAAGTTATCCTCTCTAATTGCTTAAGCTTTTAAATGAGTTAGTGGTCAACAATTCAACATAATATAGAGCAGGTTATATTATGGGGAAGGTTATGCATCGGTTCCACTTGAATTTTTTTCAATGCTAGGCCAGGATACAGAGAATAAAACCTGCTGAGGGTTCAGACATAAAGACAGATGCATTCATGGTAGAGGCAGCTTAGTATCTCCACATGAATGGATTGGTGCAGCCTCAGCAACTAATCAATAGCAATACCCTTAACAATAAAGTCCACCAATTTGGAGGAAGTATAATTAGATTGAGCAAGAAAGTATGTTGAGCAAAGAAGAAATACAAAAGTATCCTAGATAAAGCAAATGTAAAAGGAACGGCATACACATAACTAACTCAGCCAAGAAAGTATAAGAAAGCTAAAACCAAATCTATACAAAGAAGCAGGCCAAACAGCAATAAAACATTTGCATGAATAAGAGACCAAAATTATCTTACTTTGGTGTTGTTCTTCTTGTCCACTCCATAACCCTTGACATATAAATACCCCATCCCATTATAAGCTGAATAAAGTTGCTGTCTGGATGCAAGTTTAAGCCACTCAAATGCCTTAGTGTAATTTCTCTCAACTCCAGCTCCTCTTGCATATATCTCCCCAAGAAGTTCCATGGATCTTGGTTCACCCTTGTCCACAGCCTTCGAAAACCATGACAATGCCTTGACATGATCACGCCTCAGTCCTCTCAACCCGAAGTAGTAAAATATCCCAATTTTGTACATGGCTAAAGCATTTCCTTTCTGTGCCTGGTATTCCAAGATCTGGAAATCCTCATCCTCCTCCCCTCGGGACTTCCTTAGGGCCTCCTTGTTCTCCTCTGCTCCATTATGAATCCTGATCGGTTCAATCACAGGTGAGTCCTTTGAAATTAGGAAGCTATTGACCGCTACCTCCGCCAATTCAGCATATAGCTTGACAGCTTTATCATACATCTGCAACCAATCAAAACAAGAATATTCAACAAACTGGAAAATTGCAGGAACCAAATATTACAATTTCTCATAATCATTTCTGTAGCTAGGGCTTTCACTCATCAAATATTGAATGTGGTTCAATAATTGCTAGACCTAAGAGCAAAGATTCCTTTCCCGTCATAAAATAAAATTGTTGCAATTATTGCACAAAATGACAAGCAATCTCAATTTTTTGTTTTGTTGTGTTATTCCTAGTTATAGCTTAGAAAGGAAACATAAGTGAACTGACATATATGAAAATTTTGTAATAGAAACTAAAGCCTAAATAACTGTTTATACAAGCTCAATAATAAAATAATAAAGAACTTGTCTAACTACATGAAAAGAAAGAAAAATAGAGGAAAAGAATTAAACATTTTTTGACAGTTGCATATCCATCTATCATAAATAATAATAATAATAATAATAATAATAATAATAATAAGTGTGTTTGGGTTCAATTTTCTGAAAATTGAATTTTTTGTTTTTCATATATTTTGTTTTTAGTGAATATTTTTAAAATTTTAGGCAATTTTTTTACTTTTTCAAATGCACCTTACTTAGATGTATCTAAATAGTAAAATATTTGTGAAAAAATATTTTAAAAAATTAATAAATACACAAAAATACGAAAAATATATAGAATCTACGTTTTTTTTATTTTTATTTTTATTTTATATTTTTGGTATTTAGTGAATTTTTTAAAGATTTTTTCACAAATATTATACTTTTTAAGTGTATTTATGTTAGGTGTGTCTAAAAAATTAAAAAATTGCTTAAAATATTTAAAAAATTCAGTGAAAACAAAAAAAAAATACGAAAAACAAGAAAGTAGAATTTTCTGAAAAGTAAATTCTGAAAACTAAAACTAAACAAAGTAAATACTTTTTTTGGACAAATTACAAATAGTAATTGAGGACTATGAAAAATACCAATCACTCCCTCATGTCCGGGAAAATACATCCCGTCCCCTAAGATTTCTAATCATATAACAAATACTAGTTCCGTTAAGTCTAATGGATAAGAAAACTGATTGATTTTGTTGGCATCAACAATTTCATTTTTTAAAATACCCAAACAATTTGCAAACCCCAAATCAATACCAACCTCCTCCCACTCACGCAAAAATCCTATTCCTCCTCTTTTAGCACCTCAGCTCACCCCACCACAAGCCCTACCACCAAAATCAACCCATCCCCATCACCAACCAGTGCCACACCCCTGCCATGGCCATCCAAATTTTAGAAAATAAAAAAAGATAAGTTTAACTGAGACTTGTTTGCTAACACATGCTACTATCACAACCTCAAGGGTTGGATAAACCTGAGGATTAAATTCAAAAGTCTCGAGTTTGAATTACCCAAGCAGCCACTGGAAGTTTGGCCGGTCGTTAACTTTAGGCATCCATTGTCCAGAGGGCGGGAGATACCCTAGATCATTAAAAAGAAAAAAACACGCTACTATCACTCTGGTTGCTGCTTTCACTCGGATTCTCCCCAGGGGGAATACTGACACTTCCATATATTTCAAAATCACATTTTACAACAAATTTCAGAGTCTAGGGTTTCCATATATTACAAAAATTTAAAATTTTCGTTACTCTTCATAAACAAGTCCTTCCATAATCAAACAATTTTTACATGTAGGATTCCCAATCAACCAGAAACTAACATATTTCCAAAGAATTTCAAGATACAACCTTTCCAATGTCACAACAACTTGAACCTCAATTTCAGATCTAGACCACCTATACACCAGAAACAGAAAACATAAAATTTCCTATAATTGCTAAAATCCTTTAAAAATTCACATATATATAAACATTTATACATGAGCACAGCAAACCAATTCAACAATATATCACAGAGAGAGAGGAAGGTTGAACTCACATCTTGGCGAGAATAGGTATAAGCGAGAGCCATCTTCGATTGCATATTGCCTCCATTAGCCGCAAAGTGATGGTACATAAAGGCCTTAGCCCCATTCCTTTCCCTAGTCACCCCCATATTATACAGAAACCCTAGCGCCGATTGCGCATGAGGATATCCCCCAGCCGCAGCAGCTTCGATCTCCGCCGCAGCCTCCTCCATCAACCTCGGGTCGCCGGAGCTCACGGCTGTTACCATCTTCGTCACGCCGGAGTAGTACATCGCCTCGTCGTCGGTCGCCGGATCAGCCAATTCGGAGTCAGGCTCGAAGATCGGTCGCCACGACCCCGGGTCGAGCTCCTCCTCGCGTTTGGTGTCGGAGTCGCCGAACTCGTCCCAGTCGGAGGTGGAGGAGGAGGCGCCGTCGTCATCGGCGGCGGAGGGAGCGGCGTCGGTGAGATCGTCTTGGGAGAGGACGAGGACGAAGGGGCGGGCGGTGGCGGAGAGAAAGAGGAGAGAGAAGATGAAGAAAGAGAGGAAGAAGAACTTGTCTGTGGAGAGTCGCATTGGAGTGTGGTAGATCTCTCTGTATCTAGTACTAGTTGGAGATTGTTTGGTGGATGATTCTGGGTTTGAGTCTGATGATGGAATATTATGTAAATTTGAGAGAGAGAGAGAGAGAGAGAATGGTTGTTGTTGATGACGTCAAGGTTGTGTAATCCACCATTAGGATTCTGCCATGTCGACATTGTGACTGGACTGCGACGTTTTACTGGCGGAGGAAGGTTTTTTTTTTTTTTAAAGATTAAATGAAAAAATATTTATAATTTATTAGATTAAAAAACTTAATTTAAATTATAAATTTATTTTATTTTACAAATATTCAGAATTTTCTCAAAAGTTATAATTATGACAAAAAAAATATTTAAGAGTCTCAAATAAATTAAAAAAGTTTAAAATGATAATTTAAGATAATCTCACTTTTTTTATCAAATATATTTAAAAAGTCAAATAAGATAATTTAAAATTATTGAAATTTTTAGTTTAAGGTGTCTGATAAATATTAAAATTTTATAAAATAAAAGACATAATATTTTTATTGTAATTGGGATTCTTAACATTTTCACAGAGCTCTTAACAAATAAATTTCTTTTTACACAAAGAAATTTCATCTATTTAAATATAAATTTATCTAATTATATTATTGAGGCTTATTTTTTTAATTTTTTTTTTGATTTTGATTTTGATTTTTATCTTCAACTAGACTACAAACACAAAACCAACAATATATGCATACTAGATGATAATACCCATCATATAATACAACAGTTTCACTCAGATTGTTTCACTCATGATTATTGTGATTGTTTTTGTTAATAGACTTACTAATTTATCTACTTAAAAATTTAAAATAAAATTTTATTTGTAATAAATAATCAGGTTGGGATTAATAAGCAATACGTTGATCGGATCAAATTCTGCGAAATAAAGAGCTGCGATGTTCTTGTTTTGTTATCCAATCAGATTGCAAGTTTTTTTTATTTACAATTTATTACTTAAGTGGAAGTTGTTTTAAACTAAAATTTTAAACAATAAAGCTGGGTGACTCAAAATTTTATGGCTCGAATATCTCAAAACGACGTCATTTTTAGTGTAAAATAATATCGTTTTGATATATTCAAACCATTCGGACCACATAAATTCGGATACCAACCATTTTTCAATTTTAAGTCCAAATTATTTTCTAAAGTCAGTGTTTAAAAGCAGGATTTCAGTCTTAAAAGTTGTGCTTTAAAAAAATGATTATAATAATTCACATAATAAGTAAATTCATTATAATTTATGCTAGGTGACTCAAAATTTTATGGCTCGAATATCTCAAAACGACGTTATTTTGGGTGTAAAATGACGTCGTTTTGATATATTCAAACCATTCAGACCACATAAATTCAGATACCAAAAATTTTTCAATTTTAAGTCCAAATTATTTTCTAAAGTCAGTGTTTAAAAGCAGGGTTTCAGTCTTAAAAGTTGTGCTTTAAAAAAATGATTATAATAATTCACATAATAAGTAAATTCATTATAATTTTATTTTCGAAAAACATGACTTCCCAAATTAACATCTACATTTGGAAGGAAGAAAGAAAAATGAAAAGAAAATAAGATCGTTTAGGTGTTTAAATGGACGGAATATTTTGACATACATCTATTATTTTCTCCTCATTTCCTACCATAACATATATATATATTTTTTCTTTTTTCTTTTCCCTCGACAAATTCACCTAATGTTAGATTTCAAAGGCAATTTGCATTGCACCTACCTCCCCTCCTCTCCTTTCCGGTCCCAGCCCAGTCAGGGCCGATGACTCCTCTCCTCTCCTTTCCCAGACCAATCCGGCCCTGCCCTCAATCCAGGACAAACAAGAACGCAACAAATCAAATCGTATGACAGTACACTAAAATCTGCCGGGCTTTACCATTTGTAGCAACTTCAAAGATGACCATTCGGCTAGTTCATTACCTTACCATCATATCATACACATCTTATAGACAACAAAAGGAACAAATGATAGCCACCAGTTCACACAACTCAACATGACACAACAAACCTCTATAGTACCTGTGTAGCATACAGCAGCACCCGGAAAAAGCTGGATCCGCAAGCTTTGAACTTCCACACTCGGTTTTGCATTCTCATGTTTGCTGCCCTATGCTACCATCATTAGGATCATCACCATCACAAAACTGGGCCCACGCACTTCTTGTCTTCCCACCATCACCGCTAAATTCTTCCTCATCACATCCGGCCACTGTCTTCAGGAGCTCTGATTGCAGCAGCGGGTAATTTTCTTTCAGATATTTGAAACCATCTGAGCACATTACAGCTGCATCAAGAGAGACAAACAAATGACTATATGAAACAGAAGTAGAAAATATCGTATAATATATTATATTTTTGTTATGCCCTATTAAGTAACTAAGGTGAACAAAATAAAAGGGCATCTTTTTGTACTAATGTACAGCGACTAAGAAAACTGGACAGCTACAAAGGAGGAATTATAAAATCTTTTAGGAAACTAACATAACAATTAAATGTTTTACCAATATGGGTTACGGAAAAGTCTGCTTAAAACAAGTTCCATTGAACAAGGAAATGGCTTCTCTCCCGTCTAGGCATGGACTAGAGAGACCAGTTTGAGCAACAAATTTGAGCCACCTTGGCATTTTGTAAACCAAAGGTTTACATTGTCTACCCATTAACCCATTAAATATTGGGTTGGATTTTTTTATTTGATCTAGTATTGGGTTTGTAAATAGGTGATAAAAATTGGAGCACAAATTGGGGACAAGCTCGGCCCATTCAACAATGTCTCAAAGTTACATGGGTAAAGGATTGCCCTTTTACAGTATTAAAAGGGCCTCTTTGCACCATAGTAGTTATCACACCTTTTACTGATCCATTGACATTTTTCATATGTGAAATTTCCAGAGTATAATTCAGAGGACGGAGGGATCGCAAAGGTTGGGAAGAGGCTCTGAAAATCAGAACTAAGCCCATTCACCCAACAAAAAAACCTACCTAACCACACCACTAAGCATATGACAGAGTTTCTCACATTGTTACAAAGAAAAAAGGGAAACTCAAGAAAGAACATACCTATAAGATTTTCAGCAGCAAATTTTAGGCAAACTTCTTTTAAATCCAAAGCATGATAGCGGTCGGCCAGGGCCAAAATATTGGCAACACTATCTACTGATATATCCTTGCAGAGTAAGGATTGACACAACAGTCTAAGTCGAGCCAAATCATATCTGTCTGCTGCAGCTAGCAACTTCACAACAAATGTGTCAGATACAGATGGAATGCAAGATGAACTTGACACTACCAACTCTTCATTGTCAATCAGAGAATCTCTGTATATAAAATGCAACACAGCCTGCCCAAGACACAAAGGAAGGAGTCAGAAAAATGAAAACAAAAGAGGATGGAGTGCAATATATTGCCTTATGAAAATGTATAATGCAAATCTCGAGCCACATTAAAATCTAAACAAAATAAATAAATAAGTAAGAAGTACTTGGGGATATTACCTTAAAAACCATAGGCTCTATGTTTTCAACAACAATTTCATGACAATCTTCTTCTTTTACATTTAAAAGTTCTGTTTGGAATACAGGAGATCGAGCAACCAATACCAGCTTATGAGCATGAAACTTTTCTCCAGCTACCACAAAAATAACATCTGAACCTTCCTCATTCTCCAACAACATTCCAAAATGTGCTCCAATATCAGAATCAGGGATCTGTATCAAGTTTAATCTCGAACAATCTATAGCTGAAACCACAACACCAACAGTGCAATTTATTTTCAAGCAATCATCCTTCAGGAAATCCGATGTCTCAAGCATAGCCCGTCTGAAGAACCGCTTATACCCCCTAAACTCCCACATTTAGATTATCCATATTGTAGGAGAGTAGGGGAAAGGAAAGAATTAAATATCAATATAAAGCATATATCACAAGTCCAGAAATATTGATGGATACATTAAACCATATCGCAATTTTCGGGGAGAGAGAGAAGAACAAAGGATATCTCCATTGATTCATGGTAGATTTACTAAAGAGAAGACATCCCATTTAAACCACACACCTGTTTCTTTTATGGGAGAAATCACCCTAACAACCTAATAGATATCTTAACGAAGAAGACTGTCACTAACTACTTCAATTAAGGGGGAAATGTGAATAATAATGAGAGTATTGTCTCACTTACCTATTTTAAATCTAATGGTGAACTATGATGAATGCTAAATATTGCGTAAACATGTTTATTTATATAGGCAAAATTTGTATTCCTTGCATGATAATTCCTACCATTTATGCTAAATTGTGTGCTAAAATTGAATTTACCTTGTAGGATTAATTCGGCAATTACAGAAGGACAATATAGGAGTGGGCCCGCTGCACATGTGATCGTTGATCATCAACCAAGACCCTTTTGAAGCATTAAAGGGTATGCTAATTGAATTAACTAGCAACGTGGACTTTGTTTCCAACACATGCAAGGCGATGAATTAAATGAGTGGGCAGCCTAGTACAAGGACATTGCATGGAGTAAAATGAGAATTGTTCCTTTAGCACTTTTACTACCTTGTCCAAGTGTTTGTATGTTGATTAACGGAACCCCACACTAGAGCCCACGTGATTAGTGTTGTTATGTGCACTGCCAAGTGAACCAAGCTTTTGGGTATCAATTACCTGTGTATTATGTCAAATAAGTTTATTATTATATTAAGTTTTGAGAGTTTTCTTTTTATTATAAGTACAAGACTGACTCATCATTGGGGAATCCTTCGTCTTACATTATGTTGAAAATACTTCTTTGTTCTTCTCCATGGCTTACTAAATTTTTTGCCAAGGTTAGGGGTGAAACCCCAATGAATTCTTTGCTAGTATTCCTAAGATTCAATAATAGTATTTAATGTTTTTGCTCAGTGGAGTATCTGTTTCTTGGTGTACTAAGAAACAATCCTGTATTGCTTTGTCCATGATGGAGTCGTATGTCGCTTGTTCAATGGCAATACAAGAGACTATTTAGTTAAGGATATTCCTTTAGCAACTGGGAGTCACAATTATTGCAAACAAAGTCGTTGTGATAGCATGGTACCTTTAGCATATACGAGGAATCGCAAGTACCATGGAACTACATTAGAGATATGATTGCGTGAGGGGAGGTGATCCTCCAACATCTATCTGCTAGTAGGATGGTTGGTTGATCCTCTTACTAAAGCCACTACTAGACTCATGTAAGACTTCGGAGATTTTGATACCTATTTGACTATGTAAATTTGGGACTTTAATGATTGTGGGTATCTTATTTCTTTTTCATGTGGATATGGATCAATATAATGGTATGATGGATACTATTATCTGGCACACATTATTTTGCATGTCACCAGGCTTAGACCAACCCACTGACATGGGAGGTTACCCTGTCGCTTAGATTGCTACCGAGATAAGACATTAAATATCTTAACATTTTGAGAGCAAGCAAGATAAATGTTTGTTTCTTAAGTTGCCAACAAAATTAATTTACATTAAATGTCGCCTTAGATGGACTTTCATGTGTGGAGTATTTATAATTAAGAAAGGCAATTTCTGTGACATATTTTGCATAAGAAAAATATTGATAATCCCTCATGCATGGAGGGCTTGTAACCAAGCAAGGAAATTTCTAGGGAATATTTTGCTCAAGTATACCCATAATATCTCCTTCTTCTTCTTTTGTTTTCTTTTGTTTTTTGTTTTTTGTTTTTTTTTTTTTTGATTTAACATGCTCAATGAAAAAAGAAAGACAAAAAGGCAAATGAGTTTTGCACCAAAACCTATGTTAGGTAATGTTTTGCAACACAATTGCAAAAATAATTAGGAAGTACCAACGGTAAAAAATGTACTAACAAATCTAGCTTACCACATATTGTCTCTGTATTTGAGAGTATAACACCCACTCCTTGACAGAGCAATCAAAATGGTTGTGGACCCGACCTTGTGATTGCCCTTGCCACTCTAAGCAAGAAGCATCAATTCAAACAATGCTCGAACATTGATGCCATGGTTGGCCAGAGCAAAGAAGATCGAGACATACACGAAGTTGTCTTCAGGGTTCTTGCCGTATGAGTAGAAGTAGATGGCCCACTAATATCCTCCAACGGTGAATGTATCATTGGCGATGTGTTTGCCCACTTCCACTCCCATGCCTTTGGTCAGGAAGTAACCTCCGATCACCAACTTGTGAGAGCTGCACCTTATTCTCAAACTTAGAATGGCCGAGTTTGCTGGCATGCATAGTAGGAATAATAGCCAAGGCAGAGTGGTCCTGACCAACGGAATGTACCATAGAACTACGCTGACTCTCCTCTTGGTAAACAATGGCATAGGCCTTTTGCAAAGTGGGAAAAAGCTCTCGACCCAATATCTGAACCCAAATCTAATCATATTACAATTTAAGGCCAACAACAAAAACATCAGCTCATTCATTTTCCACCATCTTATGGAACATACTTGCACTTGTGGAACAAACTACTTGGAAACTCTAGTAATAGTCAAGCTCCTACCACAAGCTGTTCAACTTGGCACAAAAACTTTAAGCGACCGATCCTTTTGATCCAATCCACCAATTTTCTTCCTCAATTCAAATGCCTAGGCATCATTCCCTTTATGAGAATAAGTCTGAGCTGTTGCTGTCCAAATCTTATGAGCAATATCCATCAATAGGAAAGTATGACTAATAGTAGGCTGCATAGAGTTAATCAACCAAGTCATAACAAGAGCATTTTCTGCAATCCACTTACTTTGTGCAGGCCCATCAGTAAAAGGATCCTTGAGAGCCCCAATAAGATAACTAGTCAGACGACAAACAGTAATACATAGACTACAAGAATGTGATCATATCAAATAGTTGGTACCATCTAACTTAACCAGGCTAATATGAAGAGATGGATTATCACAAGAGTCCCAACACAACTCAACCCACACTCCTCACTGCTCGTGGAGTCCTTGCCACCTTCTACCATGTCCACCGAACTGAATCAAACACTTACAAATCCAAGAAATTCTCACAAAAATAGACAAAAATACCAAAAAACACTTACAAATCCAAGAAATTCTCACAAAAATAGACAAAAATACCAAAACAAGGTCGCTTGATCTCAAATAACCACAAAAATCAAGCTTACTAGCGAAAAAAAAATTATTTATTTATTTTTACATATCGATGTCAAAAAAAGAAAAAGAAAAAAAATGAGAAATAGGTATGATATCTCCTTTCCAACAATACAAAGAAAGTAGATATATGATACCAAGTTAAAGATAAAATAGCACAAAAGAAGAATGAGAGGAAAAGAAACATAATATGATCATTGAGAGAGTTCTAGAAGGTCTAGAGTACATAATTACCCTTAAACACAAAAACACACAACAATTAACAGAGAACTAGGACAGGGCACTAGAGAAGTAACAAATTCCTCATATTGTTTTCACTCAGGGACATAATGCCAAAGCGGAGTAAAAGTGAAAAAAGGAGGTGACTAAGGACTATTCAAACTTTGCAACATATAGGAAGCATTTAGATAAATGCATAATTGTGCGAATGTGTATTCTCAAGGGTGTAAAAGCGGCACATAGCTCATGGCCCAGCCTAGTGCTAACCAAGCCTAGTCCACACCCCCCGGGTTAGGGCCTTACAACCTCAGTTTAGAATTTTGAAACCAATCTTGGCTTGATGGCTTAGACCTAGATAGACTGACCAACCCAACTCACAACCCACGACCCTTTTGAATTTTTGATTGTTTGGCACTCCAACAACTAGTTTGTTTTTTCCTTTTTTGAAAGGGTATAATGTTGCAAACTAGGCTAGCAATATAGAGCGTAAATCCACAAGAGGTTAAGAATCCGTGCTCAGTGGGGCATTTGTTTATTAGTGCAGTAAGAAACAATCTTGCATTGCTTTGTCCATGATGGAGTCAGACTATGTCACTTATTCAACGACAGTACAAGAGGCTGTTTAGTTAAGGAGATTCCTTTAATGCCTTGTACTCATGACTCTTGCAGACGAAGTCGTTGTGATTTAAGGTTGGTTTGGAATGTCCTAAAAAAGTGCACTTTTTGACTTATTGGTGGGTTTGGGTTGGGTTTGGGTTGGGTTTGATGTGATTTGTTAGAGAGGTGATGTGATTTAAATAAGATGATGTGACTTAAATAAGATAGTGACTTTTTGACTTTTTGGCTTATTTAATACATGCCAAACTAGCCCTTATTATGATAGCATGGAAGCTTTAGCATACACGAGGGATCCCAAGTAGCATTGTAGAACCAAACATACACACCTTTGATTCCACTACATTACAAATATGATTATGTGAGGGGAGGTGATCCTACAACATATATCTGCAAGTAGAATGGTGCCCGATGCTCTCACTAAAGCCATGGCTAGACTCATTTAAGGAGTTTGGGACTTTGTAAACTTTGACATGCATTGTGAATACCTAATTGACTATGTAAATTTGGGACTTCAATGCTTGTGAGCATCTTCTTCTCTTTTTTTCCCATGTTTTTCCACTTGGATGGGTCTAAAACTAATGGCAAGATGGATACTATAATCTAGCATACATTATTTTGCACGTCACCAGCTCAGATTGACCCACTCACATGGGTGCTTACCCTGGCACTTATATTGCCACCAAGATGAGATGTTAAATATTTTGACACTTAAATATTTGTTGCTTAAGGAGCAAACAAAACTACTTTACATTTAAATGCCACCTTAGACGGACTTTCATGTGTGGTGCTCATTATTAAGCAAGACATTTTCTGCGAGATATTTTTGCATAACAGGCATATCAATAATCTTTCATACATGGAAGGCTTGTAAGTTGTAATCAAGCAAGTGAATTTCAAGGAAATATTTTGCTCAACAAGTATACCCATAATTCATCTTTATTTTTGTTTAACATGCTCAACTCAAAAAATAAGGGCAAATTACACTGTTAGTCCCTGTACTTTGGCCCTTGTGCCCCTATAATTTCAATTGAATCAATTTTAACCCTGAATTTTTTATTTTGTCCAATTGCTTCCAATTGTTAGCATTTTTTTTAATAGTAAATGTGCACCCGAGCGGCCTGTATCATACTTTTAGAAGCAAAATTGTAAACGTGATCAATTCAGTGACTTATACTTAACCAATACAATGAAAAGTTTCGGTCAAAAAACCCAACAAACAACATTATCAATTGTACTAAATTGATGCAAAATCTAAAATTAATGATCAAAATTGAGCCAATTGAAATGACTAAAATGACTGTAAAAAAAGTGTAGAAAAAAACCCAAGCTTACCACATACTGCCTCTGTACTTGAGAGTATAAGGTCCACTCTCAAGAGATCGATCGAAATGGCTATGAACCTTGTGATTGCCCTTACCGCTCTGATCAAGAAGAGTCAATTCAAACAAAGCTCGAACATTGGTGCCATGGCTAGCGAGAGCGATGAAAACAGAGACGTACATTGAATTGTCCTCAGGGTTCTTGCCATCAGGGTAGAAGTAGATGGCCCATTGGTACCCTCCGACGGTGAATGTGTCGCTGGCGATGTGTTTTCCGACTCCCATGCCTTTGGCGAGAGAGTAGCCTCTGATCACCAGCTTGTGAGAGGCGTTCACTGTCTCCGTCACCGACCGTGACCACCGCGTCGGAGAGAGGAGAGAGAGCTTTTCCGGCGATGGCGATGGTGATGGTGAGGACATGGTTGTTGTGTGTGAGAATTGAATTTTTCTCAGACTGAAATTGACACATGAACAAAAAGAAAAACAGAGAAAAATACCTTGGGGATTTTGGAGGTTTGATTTGGGGAATTCAAATTGAAGTTGAAATTGAAAGGAAATTGTGGTCCAATTCGTTGTGTAGAGTACTTAAGCCTTTTACACGCCTGCTTTGGAGACTATAAGAGCATCATCAGCAGTGTCCTTATAATAGTTTTTTTCTAGGGTAAATTACACTGAGACCAAGAGATTTATATTTATTATAGTTTTATTTTTTATCTTTATCTTTTTTTTGAAGTTTAAAGTTTTATTATAAATTCTTTTTCAGTAATTTAATTTTTTTAAATATAAATTTTGTTCTCACTGGATAAATTATATTGACATCTCTCATATTTTAAAAATTAATATCTCTCCCTAAGGTTTAAAATAGTATTACCAATTACCCACTCGGTTAGTATTAGTTGGAAAAAAAAATCATTGAAAAAAAAATTAATTAGAAAAAAAATTATTTGAAAAAAAAATTAATTAGAAAAAAAATTCGTTAGTAAAATTTTTAAATTTCTGTTTAAAAACCAACATAAACTCATTTTTTGAATTTACGTTTTTTCTCAAATTTACAAACTGAGACAGCAATTTATAAACCAAAAAATTTATCAAACAAGTTTTTATGATAGTTTTTAAAATTTTTGTAAATATAAATTGAAAATTGAAAATGAAATGGTTACTAAACAGGGTTCAGATGGTAAAAATGTCGTAAAATTAACAAATAATTAAATAAGTTACCAACGTAAAAAATGACTTATCAAAATATTCTTAAGCTATGTATGGTTTGATTTTTAAATTTTTTTTTTAAAAATAAAAAATTAATTTGGTTAAGAAATAAAAAAATAAAAAATAAAAAATAATTATCACTTAAGGGTAAAAAATAATCATCATTTTAACTTTTGGGCAGGTTATATACATACGTATGGCTGTTTCAATTTAATTTGTAAAAAATTATTTCTAATCACTCGAAAGATAAAAATTATATAAAAATGATAATTATTTTTTATTTTTTATTTCTTAACCAAATTAATTTTTAATTTTTAATTTTTTTTTCTAAAAATCAAACCATACATAGCCTAAGAATCTTTTGATAAAAAATAATTATCAGCTGCAAGAATCAAAAAAGGATCCACAAGAATAATGAACCTGGAAAGGTGAAGGGCATCAAGGATACAGAGCTCTTAAAGATCCAATTCTCTGGCTGGCACAACTCTGTCATACCACTTCTCTCATTCAACCCTCGATGTGGGCCAGCAGCGATGGGGACGGTTTAACCTCCAGCTTCCCCAATCAAAACCCCTTTCATAGAGCAAGCAGTGATCCTCTCAACGAGGATACAAAGCAGGAAGTTGAGCTGGGACTTCTCTGAAGATGGGTCCCAAGACGTATTTCTGTTATTCATTATCGGTTCACCGGCTCTGAGCTTGGAGTAATGCTACTTTAAACCTTAGGGAGGGGATTGTAATTTCTAAAATGTGAGGGGTGTCAATGTAATTTACCCAGTGAGGGCAAAATTGGTATTTAAAAAAATTAAATTGCTGAGGGGGGAATCTGTAATGAAACTTTAAACCTCAGGGAGACAGATGTAATTTCCAAAAGGTGAGGGGGAACTGTAATAAACATAAATCTCAGGGGGTATCAGTGTAATTTACCATTTTTTCTATTACAGGGGATTATTTCTTCACAAATTATTTCTTAGCATATTCTTTATCCAACCCTCTAAATATAAGTGTTATTACAGTCATTGTAACTTTCACATATCTAATAAATTTTTATTTTATTTTGTTAAAGGCACGAAGAGAATGTCCCCCCGGATGTCTTTCAGATGTTCTCCCGGATGTCCCATGAGTGCCTGTAGCTAGAGAAGGAAAATGCTCAAAATTGGCTTGATCAGTCGACCGCCCCTTCTTTATTTTTGACTGCTTTGATCTGCTGTTTTGTACTCTGTTTTGGGCGTGTTTTGCACTCTGTCTTGTGACTATCTGTTGGGGGGAAGTAAAAGATTGTTTTAATAGAATAGAGAAAAAATAAAGAGTTTATTGGGAAACGTAAATGAAAAAGTGATTCTTAAAATAGAAAATAAATTTTTTAATAATATTTTAGGTTAAAATATAAGTAGGCTACCGAGAATGCTTCAAATATTTTAGTTAAGAAGTGACTTTTTATTTTTTTATAAAAAATTAAAAAATTATTAAAATAATTTATTTTCAAACGATGTCTCAATCTCTCAAAAACGAAAAATTAAGGGTGTGTTTGGATGTAACTTTTGTGGCTAAAATAGTTAATAAAAAAATATTAAAATAGTTAATAAGACAAATGTTATATCTAAATTATAATTATTTTATTTTTTCTCTCATAATAACCATCAAATCAATTATTCAAAAAAATTAAAAATCATCTCAAACATAAGTTTTTAACCATGTTAAAATAGTTAAAAAGTCAAGTAGAATAGCCAAGAGCTCCAAAACGAGCACTTAGTGTCAATGAGACACATGTCACATGCCACACACGGATCACAATGCATTGGCCTTGTTCGATATAACTTATTATAAATTAAAATTTAATAATTATGAAACAAAAACTAAAAACACTGTTTTTATAATTTTCAAATAATTAATTTTTTTCAACATATTTAAGTTATTTTTACTTAGGCTCAATTTGAAAACTTGGCTAAAATTTAAAAGTCAACTTTTAACTTATTTTAGGTCACATTACCATTTTACTTTTTTATACATTTTTTTAAAAAAAGGCAAAAAAATGTCAACAGTCAATTTTAACCAACTTTCCAAAATAACTTAATAAGTTGTGAGTAGAACTTGTATTAAACAATCTGACAGATACCTTTAAATAAAAATAAATTATAATTAACTCATTTAAGTTATAACAAATAAGATCAATAGACTACTGTCTTATCATTAAACACAAAATTATAGGCTTACTTCTTCGACTAATTACAAGTGACATGGGGCATCACCTGTCTGCACCGTGAATAACACCATATAACGCCTCCTTCAAAATAGAGAAATTAGAAAATAAATGAAAACAACACCGGAAAACACCTCATTAAAATTGAGAGATTAGAAATGAAATGAAAAGGATTATCAGGGGTGATTATTAACTTGTTATAATATTTTCTTTTATAAGAGAAACCATTATATATATATTTTTAAGAAAAATTAGTGAAATATTCATTTCTAACTTTGTGTAGTAGGAGAGATTTAAAATGTTTTTTTTTATTAGGTAAAGTCCCTCGATGAAATTTCATTATGATCATACTAGAGAAATTTCAAAATTTCTCTGTGACCATATCGGAGGAATTTCTCTATGTCGGGGTCAAAATTTCTCTGAGTCGGGCCAAAATTTCTCTAAGTTGAATTTTTTCTATGAAGATATTGAGGGATTCCAACTACTATGAAAATATTATATGTCATTTATCTTATAAAATTTTAATATTAGGAATCTTAAAAAAAATTTTCCTATTTTTTACTTCTTCTCTGGATTAGTCAAATAAGAGAGAGAGGAAATTATTATTTATTTTTAACTTCGTAAATCGTTTATTTTCTTTCTTGAGATTAGATTGATGGATGGTAAGGGAGGATTTTAATGGTGATTTAGATGGCAGTGCAGGAGGCAAAAGGTGTATGTTGTTTGTGATGGTGGTGAAAGGGGGTGGTTTGGATCGTGGTGTGCTTATATGTGTGTAAATAAAATAACTCTCAAATAAATTTTTATACAAACGTATGTTGAGAGTATCAAAAAAGTTTATTTTATTCTATATGAAAATCTTATATAATAATTCTATTCTTATAACATTACACTTGTGAAAATAAAGCCATTGTAGAAGAGTTAGAGGAAAATGAGATATAGTGGTATTTTAAGAAGTTGATAAAAAATTGACTTTTTTGCTTTGTTTGGTTTTTTAGTGGTTTTTTGTGTATAAAAAAGTCAAAAAATTAACTTTTTACCAACTTCTCAAATCTTATACAATAGTATATAAAATGTCTCGCTAAAGTAATCGTGAGCAACACGTAATCATTTTTCATGAAAAACATAGTCAAAGGTCTTTTCTAATTGGATAAATTATACACAAATTGAAGAATTAAAGGACAAATTGTCACAATAAAAATTGAGTATTGCTATTAGCACCTGCTAAAAATAATTTGGATCCCTCAATTTATAATTTTTTTAATTATAATTATACCCTAAAGTAAAATTATATTAAAAGACATTATTAAATGGAACACCCACCTATCAAATAAAAACTAATACTCTATAATATTGGACACTCACCCCCACCTCCACCTCCAACTCCAATTCCAATTATACGTATTTCATGTTTGTAAACCCTAAACCTAGTACTCTTCATAACCAACCAACATAAATCCTAAATCTATTATTTTTCATAATCATCTTAAATCCTGAATGTGTCATCTTTACCACTATCATCAACCCCATTGAACTAGAAAGTTTTGCTTCAAGTATAACATACATTTCACCACTTATTTCACCGTGTAGAGCAATCGAGGATAAGAACAACATTTCTACTGAGATTGGCATTCTATTGGTAAATTTATCTGTCTTGTATTAACATTCTCGGTCGTTTTCAGTCATTCTTCTTTTGTTCGAACTGTTTGGTACTGGTTTGCCGACTGTTAAGATTATGCTCGGTAATATAGTATTGAACATAATCCTTTAGTTCAATACATGGGTTTCGAACATTAATGCAGATAGTCAGTACTGTTGAACCGAATATAATCTTTATTTTCGGCACTATTGAACTGAACAAAACCATTAGTTTTGGGACTGTTCAATTGAACATAATTTTTTCAATTTTGAAATTACAATCACTCATGTTTTCAGGGTGATGCTTCGACTAGAGGCAGTAAGATTGATTCAGAACTTGTAATGGATTATAGTAATTGTTACCCAAAAGACAACCTAAGAAGGGAGCGAATTAGGTGTTTACAAATAAAAATAATAATACCTCAATAAAATTTCAACTGGCACAACAAATCAAAATAGCTAATGAAACAAAGATGATTAAAACAAGTGTTCTAACAGCTATATCAGTAATGAATTTGGCACAGTGAAAATGTGAGATATAGCTATGATAATCAAACAAAATAAAGA